CTCGGTTGCCAACGGGGCGGATAACGAGTGCGCACGCAACGCTCAGATGCCAGTTTGGTGCGCCCCGAGCCCAGGGGACAGCTGCGCCCCGCCGAGGGCAAACCCGAAGAGGGGCAAGCCCCCCCGAACCAAAATCCCCCGAAGCAGTCCACCGAGGAGGGCACAGAGCCCCGGCTGGAGGAGGATGAGCGAGAGTGGGTGGCGGGGTGCGTTCCGCCGCGCGTCCGAGGCCGCCTCGAAGAGGGTAGGTCCTGCAGAAGCCTAGGCAAACAGTCAAAAATGTAGTTTTGGGACGATGTTTCTTTAACTATGTTTGATTATGTGGGGGTATTGTTTGAGTATTTCGTTCGCCCAAAATCCGCCTGAAGGGGACACGCCCGACCCAAGCCTAGGCGGGCAGACGAAAACCTGGCAGGAATCGAACACTCTGGCGACCAAGGGAGGAGGGGGGCGGAAGGAGGAGGAGGAGGAGGAACACCCAGGGCGGCACATCCACCAGGCAAGACCCGCGAAGGGGGGGGGGATGGGGCGGGCGCGCGGAACGGCTGTCAGAGCTCAGAGCTTCTTGGGCGAGCTAGCGCTTAATACTTCAGTGTGCGGACTGTCGGTGCAGGTGCGCGTTCATAAACGACCAATGCGCGCGGCGCTGTGGCGGGAGCCATATTTTGAAACCGAGTCGCCCCGAATCCGTGCAGGTCGCGCACATGTTTACAGCGGATGCGCGCGGCGCGAAGGCGAGAGCCACATTGTGACACCGAACCGCCCTCAATCCGTGAAGTTCGTGCATTTGTTGTTTGGAAACGAATGCGCGCGGCGCTGAGGCGAGAGCTAATTGTTTAGAAACGGTCGCATCCAATCCTTGAAGCTCGTGCACATTCGTTCAAGCGAATGTGCGCGGCGCTGGGGCGAGCGCTAGATCTTGATACCGAGCCGCCCTCAATCCGTGAAGCTCGTGCACATGTTTAAAACCATGGTGCGCGGCGCTGGGGCGAGAGCTAGATTTTGATACCGAGCCGCCCTCGATCTGCGAAGCTCGCGCAATTTTTTGAATTGAGCGCGCGCGGTGCTAAGGCGAGAGCTAGATTTTGAATCCGAGCCGCCTTCAACCCGTGTAACAAGTGCACGGGCGAGAGCTAGATGTTGATACCGAGCCGCTTTTATTCCTTGAAACTATTGCACATGTAAGAAACGGAATGCGCGCGTCGCTGAGGCGCGAGCTAGATTTTGAAACCGAACCGCCTTCAATCCTTGAAACCCGTGCACATTTTTAGCAACGAATGCGCGCGGCGTTGAGGTGGGAGGTACATGTTGAAACCGAGCCGCCCTCAATCCGTGACACCCGCACGCATGTCTTCAAGCGAGTGCGCGCGGCGCCAAGGCGAGATCTGGATTAAAAAGATACGGCCGCGTCCAATCCGTGACATTCGTTCACATTTTGTAAGTACGAATGCGCGCGGCGCTGCGGCCAGAGTTTGTTTTTGAAACCGAGCCGTCCTCAATCTGTGAAGCCCGTGCAAATGTGTAAAACGAGTGCGCGCGGCGCTAACGCGAGAGCTAGATTAAAAAAGCGGCCGCCCTCAATCCGTGAAACTCGTGCGCATTTAAGAAAGCGAATGCGCGCGGCGCTGAGACGATAGCTAGATGTTGAAACCGTTCTGCCGTCAATACATGCAACTCTTGCAAAATTTCTCAGTGAGTGCGCGCGGCGCCAAAGCGAGAACAACATGTTGAAACCGAGCCTGGACTGGGCGAACGTGTTTTGTTTTTTAGCTGTTTGCGCGGTGCTAAACATACCACTCCGCTAAAATCACCCACGGGATTTTTCTACTCGGTGCTGAGATGACGGGCGTGGGGGGGTTCTGAGGTATTTCGTAGGGTTCGTGAAACAGATACACAAGCTTTAAACAAAGACGTGCTCATGCTCCAGATTTGGAGCCAAAGTATATGCTTGTATGCTTGTTTGACAAGGATGGTTGGCCTGCGCGCAACAAACAATATGCTGGCACCCCCGCCGCCCCAATCAAAATCCAATGCAAAGTGGTCGAAGGCCGCCCGCGCATGTGCCAGATTTGGAGGCAAAGTGCATATTTAATTTTTTTCCCAAACCTCCTGTGTGTTGAGCCTTTGTTTTGAATTCGCAGCGCCGCGCGTCTCCTCCTCCTCCTCCTCCCCCTCCTCCTCCTCCTCTTCCTCCTCCATCTCCTCCTCCTCTCCTCGTCTTCTCTCCGCTCAGATGCCTCCTCATCCATGTCGTATCATGCTCGTAGCCATCATCACCATCATCACCATTATCCGCGTAATCGTGGTCATCATCATCCTGATCTCATCACACGCTTTGAGGTCCCATAGGGAGCTCCACCGAAGGCCCCAATTGTTGCGTTCGCATTGTTGCTCGCGTCCGTTTTCTGCAACCCCCCTCACGCGTTTCGTGGCCCTGCAGGTAGCTCCACCAACGGCCCCAGTGGCTGCGCCCGCATGCTTGATCGGGTCCACTGTGGCACACGCCCTGCACGCTTCGTGGCCCCACAGGGAGCCTCGCCGAAGCCCTCAGTGGCAGCGTCCGCGTGAGTACTCGGGTAGTTTCTGACATACCACCCACGCGCTTCGCTGCCCCATGGGGAGCTCCACCGGAAACCCCCGTGGCCGCGTCCGCATGACTATTCGGGTTCATGCTGGCACCTTCTTCACGCGTGTCGTGGGCCCACGGGGAGCTCCACCGAAGGCCCCAATGGCTGCGTCCGCATGATTAATCGGGTCCGTTCTGACACGCCCTCACACGCTCCATCGGAGGCCCCAGCCACTGCGTCAACATGATTGCTCGCGCCCATTCTGTGGCGCACCCCTCACACGATGCGTCGGCCCACAGGGAGCTCCACCGAAGGCCCCAGGTGCGGCGTCCGCGTGACTACTCCGGCCCATGCTGGTGCACCACTTACACGCTTCGTGGCCCCATAGGGCGCTCCACCGAAGGCCCCAGTGGCAGCGTCCGCACTGTTGCTCGCGCCCGTGTTCTGGCACACCCCATCATACGTTTCGTGGCCCTGCAGGTAGCTCCACCAACGGCCCCAGCGGCTGCGTCCGCATGGTTACTCGGGCCCATGATGGCACACGCCTCACACGCTTCGTGGCCCCATACGGATCCTCACCGAAGCCCTCCGTGGCAGCGTCCGCATGGTTGCTCGGGTTTATTCTCTTACCTCTCGCACGTCTCGTGGCCCCCCAGGGAGCTGCACCGAAGGCCCCAGTGGCAGCGTCCCCATTGTTGCTCGGGTCAATGCTGGCGCACCCCCACACCCTCCGTAGCTCCATAGGGAGCTCCACCGAAGTCCCCAGTAATTGCGTCCGACAACACCAAATCATGATCTGTCAGGAGCAATGCAAGGAAGCAGAGCGCGGCCACGAATTGAACTGCAACCTGGCACAGAGGAGTTTATATGAGAAGAACCTCCGAGAGGAGGCTGCCTGCTGGGCCGCCCGCGTGGAGCAGCACCAGCGCATGCGTGGACGTCAATCCATTAGCAAGCAGAAACGACGGAGGAGGCCCCGAAGGGCACAAGCGCGAGCGGGGGGCCACGCAAAGCAACGAGAGGCGATCGGCGCACGCCCCAACTTCCGCAAGCGGGAGAAGGGAGCGCACCGTTCACCAACCCGCCGCAATGAATAGCCCCCCGAGGGGAGGAGGAGACGCCAGCGGCGGCGGAGACGCCATACGGACTGCGTCCGCATGGTTACTCGTTTCCATCTCGGTACACCCCTCACACGTTTCGTGGCCCCATCCAGAAGAATGGTTACTCGGGCCCATTTGGCACACCCTTTACATGCATCGTGGCCCCATAGGGCTCCACCGAAGCATGTAAGGCGTTATGTGTCGAAGCGTTCGTGCGTGCTGCAGATCCTTTAGTCTGTTCATGTGCGTTGAGCTTTCCTGCTAACACTCGCCACTCGTTTACAAAGGGGTTGGCTTCTTCGCCAGGGTAATTTTTCAAGGGATGGTGTTGGGGAGGGGGCTCATTCGTCCAGGTTGGCGGCCGGTCGCCTGGGGGAGGGGGTGTTTATCAATGGGGAACAGTGGTGAACCCCTCCCCGAAGAGGAAAAAGAGGGTTGGAAGAGGAGCCCCGCGAAACCACTCACGCCGTCAAGGGCTGGTGGGATTGACGATGCTTCGAGCACCATGCATCATTCAGGAGGGGAAAAACACACAGACACAATTAATCGTCGATTCCCAGGAAAATATATTATGGGAAACTATTGGAAGCGGGGGGGAAGACAAACACCCTGCAGATAGGGGAAAACATGGAGAATCCTCTTATCTGTGTGTATTTATCTGTGTGTCCCTGGGCCCCTTCAGTC